TACGAATATCTTCTACTCTCACTAACCATGTTTCACAGCCATAAAGTAAGACGGAGCGAACTACTGCGCAGTACACTCGTCCTTTAGTCAGCAAACGGATATCTCGCCTACGTCATAAGTGACGCAGGTTGGCAAAAGCCAATCGAACCTTTCTGTATCCGTGCTGAGATTTCGTCAGTCACCAGGCCATCGGCACTGATGAGACTCCCAAGATAAGTGAAGCGGTCTACACGCTCGACTACTTCACTCCCTATCGCTAGTTCAGGTGCCGATGCAACCCAATCTTGAAGCAACACTTTGCATTTCGAGGGAGAAAACCGCATCCCGAACATGCTTGGGTTGTTGCTTTTGGTAGTCAGAAGACTCTGTATTTTGTCAGCGTCTTCACCGAATGACGCTCAGGCAATATATTTTTTTCAAACCAAACTATACATAACAATAAATAACAATCCGATCGCAGCTGCTACCATGATGTGGTTGGTCGTCAGGTTTGCGACTATCGCAATGACCTACTCGAGCTTCTATCGGTTGGAACATATGTTCCTTTAGGTCCTACTATGACAGGCAGGTCGATTGAAGAATGGTAAGACTAAATAAGGTAGTACTAGGCGTGAAGTGTAGCATATATTATGTGACATACAGTCTCCTGTTTCTATCATAAACAAGCAAATGCTTTATATGTTTCGATTGTACTAAAACTACATGTTACGTATACATTTGTATTTGTGAAAGTCGGATTAAATGAAATTCAGAATCATAAAAAAAGTTTGATTTTACAAGAGACTAAGAATAAAATTGAACTTTGAAATTATGAATCAATAAATGTTAGACCATACTATTAGAAACCTGGAAACACTGAACGGCCGTTTCGTCTTGGTATAAAACGACTCTTCAAATCTGGTCAATCTAGGGATTTTGTCTTCGATAGTTATTGCCTACATCCGACAGGGTCACGTCTTCTAACTAGAACTCCCAGGATTTCCATACCGTTGGATGCCGGCTCAGTGGTTAGGCACTCGCGTTCAAGACCGAAGGTTCTAAGTTCCAATCCTATGAAATGCATGAGTCGTGACTGTGCACTGGCACTGATGAGTCCCATACCATAGGACGAAACGGTAGTCGTTCAGTGCTTCCAGGTTTCTAACAGTGGTTGATTCATGATCTCAATGTGTAAAAACAATGATCTCCATAACAGACAGACAGAAAGATACAACACACAACTTCGGACGTAAGTACATCAGTTCAGGTTGCCATGCCCCATCAGCACAGAGACGTAACTGTCAGTTCAAATCCAAGAGTGATAACAATAATAGAAGTATTAACGGTAATGGAGAAGATTAGGGAGCGAAGATATGATTCGAGAAGTATAATTCAGTGAAATAAATTTAGAAGGAGAAAGACAGAGATTATGATGAATTCAGAAGGTTAGAGTTCGAGAGAACACAAAGAGTGAGTTATGGAGATGACGAAGTTCGAAAAAAAAAATTGAACTTGCCTGTAAATTAGCAGTTGGTGATAAACTAATTGAATTGACAAAACCTCTCACTGATGGTGCAGCATGTAATTCCATACATCGTTGTAAATCAGCTTTGGCACGTACAAGTTCTGCTATCGGTGGAGGTAATGCAGCAAAATTTGATGAAATATTACCAGCGGGGAAATTCAATGATTGTATTTGATTAGTACCAGGTCCATGAATTCCAGTGGAAGATGAAAAATTACGACGTGATGCCCATGAACTATGAGAATCGATACCGCCGCCAGCCTAAAGAAAAAATGAACAACAGAGGAAAGATGAAAAACGATTAGCAACGTTTAATTGTATTGAACAGTAGGCTAACATCAATGAATCTGTAATTAAAAATTGGAGCTTAGATAAATCAACCAGTTAGTCAGTCAGTTACACCATAGAACTTCGTGCGTACGTACATCAGTTCCAGTTTGCGAACTACATTAGCGCACAGACGACATTATATATTCAAATTACATTGAAGAAGAGGTAGTAAACTCTACTTGCATCGGTGCCTGAATTAGTGATAGGAAGTGAAGTGTTGACCGCCTCACTTATTTCGGAAGTCTCATAAGTGCTGATAGCCTGATGACTAATGAAATCTCCGCTCGGATACAGAAAGCTCGATCGGCTTTTGCCAACCTGCGTCACTTGTGGCGTAGGCAAGATATTCGTTTGCTGATTAAAGGACAAGTGTACTGCGCAGTAGTTCACTACATCTTACTTTATGGTTGGAAGATAGCTAGGGGCGGGCAAACTAAAGCATGGCAGAAATCCATGAAGTCATTGACAAGTGGACTAAGTCATGTCGGTGGCTGTCGATTATCTGGTTGAGGTCCGCGAGATGATAATAATCGATGGTTAGAGACCCTGAATGACATTGTTCGAAACCGTTTGCAATGGCTCAGGTGCATTTATTCTTCGTGTTCTCTCAAATCCTAACCTTCTAAATCCCTCATCACCTCTATCTTTCTCTTTCTGAATTTACCTCACTGAATTATGCTCCTTGAATCATATCTTCGAACCCTAATCTTTCCGATTACTTCTAATACTTTTAATACTATGGGATTTGAATCGACACATATATTTGTGCTAATGTGGTATGGCAACTTGAACTGACGTACTTACATACGTAGTTCTACGTTGTAACTGGCTGAGAGGTAGTAAAAGTATTAGCTGTAATCGGAGAAATTAAAGTTCGAGGATATTATTTAAGAAGTAGAATCTAGAGATATACACCTAAAAAGAGATGATGAAGAACCTGAGGATAAGAATTTCAGCGAGCACAAAGAATGAATGCTCTTGTCCCATTGTAAACGATTTAGGGTCACGTCTTTCACAGTCTCTAACCATCGATTACTATCATCTTGCGGGCCCCAACCAGGTACTCTACGCTTACAAACATGACTCAATCCAGTTGTCAGTGACACTTCATGGATTTGTGACATGTTTAAGTTTCGCCGCCCCAAGCTTTCTTCCCACTTACTCCTCACCGCAAAACCTCACTCCTTGCTGTAGTCAGTTGATAGGTATACGTGATACATGTCTCAACCAGCTAAAATGTTAAAGATGAGGTACTTCATCTACTGATCTGTCTTCCTTACCTAGTATCCGTTTCCTAGCAACTGCATTGCTCACTCCACTATCCACAAGATAAACGAGCAATCCTTCGAAGATATCAATGATCGAAAGCCAGTAACATATGAGAATACCTTTTACTCTTACTGGCCATGTTTCACAGCTATTATGTAGGACGGAGTGAACTACTGCGCAGCATACTCGTTCTTTGGTAAGCAAACGCCATAAATAATGACACACGTTGACAAAAGCCAATCGAGGCTTCACTGAAATAAATATCCATCGATCCATGTCAATACACTTCGATTCAGTAGTTTACACAACCACTTCACATTGCTCGAATAAATAGATAGTCACATCAAGAATGAATAAAGTTTTACACTAGCTAAATCAAACAGAAATTTATACTGATCAACATGGTTTCGAAAAAATTTGTAGCTGAGCTGGATGATTGTAGTGGTGTTCCGTTTTCTCGGCTGGATGTCTTGGAGTCTTGTGGAGTATTCACTTCTATCTGAAGTTTGTGCTGATGTTGTTCAGTAAAAGAACAATGAAAGCTCCAGACAGACAGATACAATGCAGAACTTCGTACATGAGTACATCAGTTCAGGTTGCCATACCACAACAGCACAGAGACGTAACTGTCAGTTCAAATCCGGGAGTGATAGCAATAATAGAAGTATTAGCAGTAATGGAGAAGATTAGGGAGCGAAGAAATGATTCGAAAAGTATAATTCAGTGAGATAGATAAATTTAGAAGGAGAGAGAGATGATGAAGAATTCAGAAGGTTAGAATTAGAGAGAACACAAACAGTGGATGCACCTGCGCCATTGAAAACGATTTTGAGTCATGTCGTTCAACGACTCTAACCACTGATGACTATCGTCTCGCGGACCTCAACCAGGTAGCCTACATCTACCAACATGAAAGCTCCACATCCAAAACATCCAGTTCGAAAAACGAAACAACACCACAATATTTTTTTTGATAAAGTGAATACATTCACAGTTCATCTAACTACTACTACTACTACTACTACTGTGGTGCGCGCTACTTATAAGTAGTATATGACGCGAGTAAAAACGTAATGTCTGGTAGCAGAAGATGGGGGGAAGATCAAGAAAGGAAGAGCGGAAACGCATGAACAATGAAATGTTAGACAACGGACTGATGATGAACTGATGATTTGCAAATTAACCGTTTACGATATGGTTTTCCTATTTTACTGAGTAACTCTGTAATTTTCGTTAAATACAATTCGGTTGCCCTCACCTGTGTTCTACTTTACTACACTACTACTGTAGTGAACGAGAACACAGGTGGGGCAACCGAATTGTATTTAACGAAAATTACAGAGTTACTCAGTAAAATAGGAAAACCATATCGTAAACGGTTAATTTGCAAATCATCAGTTCATCATCAGTCCGTTGTCTAACATTTCATTGTTCATGTCTTTCCGCTCTTCCTTTCTTGATCTTCTCCCATCTTCTGCTGCCAGACATTAGGTTGACACTCACGTCATATACTACTTATAAGTAGCTCACACCACACTACTACTACTAGACACCAAAATTAAAAGTCTGCAATGCGAAAAACTCCAAATTCCAACAACAACTTACTTTATTCAATTCCAACTCAGCTCGTTCTAAACATGCTTTCAATGTATCTAAATGATTGAATACAGCATAATTTGCCATAGCCCATGATTGCCATGTATTACGACATTCTGGTGCATGTAATGTAGCAGTTTGATAACATTGAATCACAAAAGCTTGACTTTCTTCCCATGTTTGAGAGATACTTGAAGCAGCGATATTATCATTAACTAGCGCCACCGATGTTCCACTGCCACTGCCTGTATTAGCAGTGGTGGTGTTAGTGGAACCAGTTCGACGCATTCGTGCACTACTACTACCATTACGATGAATGGTGGTAGATTCACGTGAACCAACTGTGAGACTATTCGAATGATGAATTGATGTACGCATTGTAACTCCATTACTACGTGATGAATAAATATTCTCTACTAGAGTATCATTATTATTTGAAGAATTCACTTTAGACAATGTACGTGCTGCTGCAGCAACTGAAAATTGTAAACCATTTCCATTTGTATTAGTAAATATAGAATTTGAATTAGCCAAAGGATGATTATCTATGATTGAATGATTACTGGTGCTGTTGACGCCGCCAACGCCACCACCACCACAACCAGATGGCGGTGAACGTGTATACAATTCGGAATACCATGAACCTAATTTCAGACAACATCTAGTAGAGGGAGAGAAAATAAAATAAAACACAATTAAAAAAAAATGAGTCATGTTGTAATATAGCCACTTGCTTAGTGATATGTACTATTGTGGTGTGAGCTACTTATAAGTAGTATATGACATGAGTGTCAGTCAACGTAATGTCTGGCAACAGAAGATGGGGGAAGATCAAGAAAGGAAGAGTTAGAAGAACACAATGGAATTTGTATGAAACACATGAATAGTGAGTGACAATGGATTGATGTTGTTTGCAACAGGAACAGTCCAGTTCGATATGATGAACTGATATTTTGCAAATGAACGATTTACGATATGGTTTTCCAATTTTACTGAGTAACTCTGTAATTTTCGTTATATACAATCAGGTTGCCCTCACCTGTGTTCTCGTTCACTACACTATGAATGAAGCGCTAATTAAGATACAACTTGATATCACCGCACGATTAGGCTATTCTTTGCAGCACCAGCCCAAGCCTACTTTTAGTGAGAAGTCTACAGTCAACAAGAAGATTGTATGATGTTGGGGACGTTAGATCCCCCTGATCTCGATTGATAAATGCCTTAAATTTGGATTTCATGTTTGCGAGCATTGGCTGGTCAGTTGACCTTGAGACCGCATTTCTCACCGGAAAAATCCTTGGCTGTGATTGGCTGCTGTGTATTTCAGTGTGGTATTTTTGTGACTGTCCCAAGGACGTTTCTATGATGTATAAATAAATGAGATTTGTGTGCTTGATTGTATTGTGTTTGCTGAGTGATTGTAGAATATACTTTCTACGCTATATCAAGACTTTTGGTTAGCCATTGGATCAGGATAGCCTACCTGGACGCTGGTAAATAGACACTCGTTCGCGTTTATCGACTAAGGTGAACACATAATAGTGTCAAGCATACTTAATGAAGAACCTAACAATAAACTACAAGCAGACCCGAGCGAATGAATGAGCAAGCAGTCAAATACAAGTGTAATATATGCAGTGCAGAAAGATAGTTCTTGGGATAAGTTACAAAATAGCACATTGTATTTGACTACTCTAAATAGTAGTCATTAAACAACTAGTTGAATTCGGAAGATTTGTCAAGCTATGTTGAAAATGTTGTAACATGGCCACTAGCTTAGTGATTGGTGCAATGAATGGCGCTGATTCAGATTTGACAGGCCTAGAGTCTCATCCCAGACGAAACACAGATCAAGTTCTCTCGTATTTTCCAATCATTTTCGAAATTAAATTAAAAGCCATTAATCAATCATTGTTAGACTATACACCATTAGAAACTTGGAAGTACCGAAAGACGGCTGTTTCGTCCTGTTATGGGACTACTCATCAGTGGCAGTGGGGATCCATGACCTTCTGCGTCCCACAGGATTCGGATTCAGGACCTTCAATCTTGCCCGCGAACACCTACCTACCTAACCTCTGAACGACTAGCTGGCCAGCGTCCCACAGTGTTAGTGTCTAACTCTGATCAATCTAGTGATTTTGCGCGATCTAACCCATTTATTTCTGATAGTTACTACCTACACTCGACAGGGTCAAACACACAAATCCATGAAGTCACTGACAAGTGGAATGAATCATGTTGGTAGATGTAGGCTATCTGGTTGAGGTCCGTGAGACGAAAGTCACCGATGGTTAGAGACCTTGAACGACATGGCTCAGAATCGTTTGTAATGGCGCAGGTGCATCCACTGTTTGTGTTCGCTCTAATTCTAACCTTCTGAATTCCTCATAATCTCTATCTATCTCTTTCTGAATTCACCTCACTGAATTATACTTCTCGAATCATATCTTCGCTCCCTAATCTTCTCCATTACTGCTAATACTTCTATTATTGCTATCACTCTTGGATTTAAATTGACAGTTACGTCTCTGTGCTGACGTGGTATGTATGGCAACCTGAACTGATGTACTCATGTACGAAGTTCTGCGTTGTATCTGTCTGGGTCGAACACCATAAGTCACAATTAAGGCTCAAATCCTGCAAGTAGCAGCAGTCGTAGATGAGCACTGCTACCGATTAGTGGTCCCGTACCAAGACGAAACATCATTGCTTCCAACAGTCTAACAATAAATCGATTGACGATTTCACACTGCAAAACAACACACTTATCTCCATAATTCGAAACGAGAAAAAAACAATGGAATAAATTAAAGAGACATGTGATAAGTTCGTCACTTAGTATGCTTGAGGCTATTACGAGTTTACCTTAGTCGATAAACGCGAACGAGACTTTTACCAGCTTCCAGGGAGGCTACCTTGAATACCCAAAGTCGAAATAAAAGGCTTTGTAAGCGTAGAAAGTATATTCTACAAACACCCAGCAATCACACAATACAATCAAGCATACAATTCTCGTTTATTTATACAACATAGGAACGTCCTTGAGACAGTTAAGAAAATAGCATACTAAAATACACAGCAGCCAATCACAGCCATGGATTTTCCTGGTGGGAATTGAAATCTCAAGGTCATCTGATCAGCCCATGCTGGCAAAACGTGAAACCCAAAATACGGCATTATCAAGCGGATTTTGGGGATCTAGCATCCCCAACAGCATGAGAAAAACTAATCATAGAGAAATAATAAAAAAACAACACAACTTACTTTGCCAATAATCGTCTTAATTCTTTTCGTTCATTCATTAATTGAATTTCTAATTGTCTTGAATCTAAACTATCTAACGTTTCATTGGTATTTAATAGATTCGGTGAGAGAAATTGAAAAACTGATGTTGATGACGACAGCTGTTGAGCACAATTAGTGTTTGTATCAGTAGTACGTAGTAATGGCTCGAGTACATGAGTTTTTAAAACACACAAACGACTGACAGCTTCTTCATGTGCACCGACACACCATAAAAGTTTAGTATATGCAAATACAATAGCTGGATCAGAACTAGGAATTGGATCACATGGTGGAATACTAGCTGGATCTAAACCGAGTAGATTTTCTAATACTTGACGTGATAAAATCTACATGAAGAATAATAGGGGGGGAAAAACGAAATAAATTAAAATTACATTCATGAAATCGGTACTAACAGTGAGGATGGTAGATCAATAAATGAAGTACTGAATATTCGTCAGTTGAAGTGGTTGGGACATGTGTTGCGCATGTGCCCAGCCACTGACTGTCGCGTTAAGTGATGTTGTGCGATGTAGCAATAGGTTGGGAGAAGGCTAGGGGTGACCAAACCAAAACATGGCACAAATTCATGAGGTCACTGACAACTGGATTGAGTCATGTCCGTAGATTTAGACTACTTGGTTGATGTCCACGAGACAATACTAACCGATGCTTACAGACTAAGAATGAAATGGCTTTCAATCGTCTGCAATGGCGCAGGTGCATCCATTGTTTGCTTTCCCCCAAATTTTAATCGAAACTCTGCGTGACCTTCATCTTTCTCGTCTTATATCTATTTTACTGGGTTATAATTCTTGAATAATATCATTGAACCCTACTCTGTTCGATTACTGGTAATACTTCTACTACACCTACCACTATAGGATTTGAATTGACGATTCGCGTCTTTGTGTTAATGTGGTATGGCAACCTGACCTGATGTATGTAGGTACGAAGTTATACGTTGTAACTGACTGACTGACTGACTGAAATCACGTTCCCTATCAACCATAAAGAATGATTGTGCTGAATTGGTGTGGTTAACTTACAAAAGAGTGAGTAAAGTCTGCTATTCCTGCTCTCGCATGGCCACGAGTTAATAACCACTGTCAGGGAGGTCCTACTCACTGTCTTTTCGTGACGAGAGTGAATTTTGCGAAATTTAGAGAATTAGAATTGAATCTCGGGTGTTTTAATCCAGTTGGTAAGGTATGCACAATCCAGCCAGAGGCGTTAAAAACAATTCTAGATCCAAACCAATGGTACACACAGGCTCTAGGACCTGAGGGAATGAATGGCTTATAAGCCAATTGTTGAACATCGGCATTCATGGGAAGGCAATTCTTGACGTTACTCAGCAGTTTTGTGTGAAAGATGTCTGGACCAAAGGCCTGGAGGGAGGCTTATTAAGAAAACCAACTTTTTAGGTTTGGGTGTCCGGGCAGTAGTATCCCAGCCGATTCACAAATTCATTAATTTAACTGGGACATAAAAAATTAGGTGCTCCTTTTATACCAATGTATATGTGTTCAAAGAAAAGTAAATTCACTTACAAAACGACCACTTCTTCGACATAATCCAGCAAAACGTAACCATGATTTACGATCTTCATATGGTTCCAATACTAAACTACGTAATTGAATAATTTGACTCCAATCTTCTACAACAGAATTACAACCAAGCAAACGAGATTGCCATGCTTCACGTAGAATTGGACGTCTTTCTGGTATAAGTTTATATTGTATAACTTCTTCAGCTTCTGATAACAATTGTGTACCGACTAAATCCTAAAAAGTAGATTAGTTTTGAAATAAGAAAATAGATTTGATAAAATAAGTGTTTTTAGCTAAAAAAAAATGTTTATCGGAATTTTATTGAAGATAGGAATTCGAATAAAGAGTCCTTTCAAAACAGTGGTTCCCTTTGATAAATTTGAATAGAGAAGTGAGTGAGAAGACATCAAAACAACTCAATCGATCTAAGTTACACCAATCAAGTCTCCAAGACCGATTCAGTCCAAATCTCACTGTATTTACCAATTCACATGTAACTGTGGAGAAAGTTACTTAGGTAGGACAGATCGCCGATTGGAGCACAGGATAGGGGAACATATTCCAAAATGGTTAATCAAACCCATGATTCATCCACCTAGCCCATCATCTCAAAATCGATCAAGAAACCCAGCCTCGTCCATTGCAAAACATCTAATGATGAGTGGTTATCAAATTGACCCAAAATCAGCTTTTAGAGTTGTGTGACATGTCATCAAAACCCACACACACACACTGAAACTACTCGAAGCTATCTTGATTGGTCGGAAAAGTTCAACTTCATGTATTCAAAAACAACTGTATGTTGACCTTTGTTTACTTACCATGGTTCTAGTGAGTGAATGTCATGCTAAATAAGTAATTTTGACCTTATCTTCAAAACTGCTGTATTTACACGAATAACATGTTGCTTGTATGTGACTGACGAGAAAGCACGAAATGGTACTACTATCTCACAAAATATGTTTTCTCATTTCTCTATTCAAAGAGTCATTTGTCAGTTTCGTAGCAACAATCTACATATATTCAGTATATATTAATGAAGAACATGAGTAATTATATAGAAACCATCAATCAATCATTGTTAGACCACCAGTAGTAAGGATGTCAGGCATTCGAGCGCAAGATCGAAGGCTCTGGGTTCGAATCCTGTGAGTAGTATTCCCGTGGCCGAAGGAGTTGGAGGATGGAGATTAGCGGGGCCTCCTGGAGGAGTTTGAGGCCGCGGTGGAGCTGGTGGGGCCCGGGACGGAGTTGGTGGTGCTGGGGACGCTGCTGAGAGGAAGGGCGAAGGCTGTATATGACAGTCTGGACGGTGCCGCCAAGAAGACGGTCACCGGGCGGCTGATGACGGAGTTCGACAGCCCGGTGGACAGGGAGGAAGCGCGCAGAGGTTCCGTTTGGCGAGGCTGTCGGTGACTCGTTGGTGCTGGCTGTGGAGCGCACGATGTTGCTGCGCCGTACGCTGCCGAGTATGGATGGGGAGTTGGGGGCACAGTTGTTGGCGTCGCAATTTATCGAGAGTGTGCCTGCCGCTGTGTCCCAGCATCGGGAACTAATAAACGCTACACGTTGGATAGATGCCGTACTCATTCCAGACCAGCGGGCAAGAACAATGACCGAAGTGGTAATCCGGCATATTTTAGCGCGTCACGGAATGCGGAAGGTGATATTAACTGACCACGGTTCCTGTTTTGAATGTAACGACAGCTTATTAAAAGGGGGGAAGAGTGCGGTGCTAGCTACTTATAATTAGTATATGACGTGAGTGTCAACGTAATGTCTGGCAGCAGAAGATGGGGGAAGATCAAGAAAGGAAGAGTTAGAAGAACACAATTGAATTTGTATGAAACGCATGAATACTGACAATGGATTGATGTTGTTTGCAACAGGAACAGTTCAGTTCGATATGATGGACGGATATTTTGCAAATTAACGATTTACGATATGGTTTTCCAATTTTACTGAGTAACTCTGTAATTTTCGTTATATACAATCCGGTTGCCCCACGTCTGTTCTCGTTCACTACAGTATCAAGTAGTCATGAATGCGCACTGCTACTGACGAGTACTCCCATACTAGAGGATAAAACGGCCATCTTCCTGTGCTTCCAGATTTCTAATGGTAGTGATCGCCTAACAATGATCAATTCATAATTTCAATGTGCAAAAACACACTAACCTCCATAACTTACAGTATATGCCCGATTATAACTTTCTTCAGCCATCGCTGTTAAATTCGAATCGAGGACATCACGTGCTTTCATAATGAAATCACATGCTTTAGCATAATGTTCCGAATGAATATTTAATACAGCTCTATAGAATGCACCATCAAAACTATGATCAGCTGATAAAGCTTCCGTATATCGTTCAACACGATCCCATGAATTCAATGCCCATGCAGCACTACATGCTAATGGTGCCATCATTGCACGCATTTGATCATTCACATCGTTCCAACGTTCCCAAGCCATATTGTTTAATGGAGCCCTATAAAAGGTTCACAGATTAACAAAAATAAAATAAAAATAGTGATAACAATGTTTATAAGAAATGTTTATCATAATCCCCATCGCCAATTGAATTGCTTACAGCTAGCTCTATTACAAGTACACTTTACTCGGTAAACGGAACACAGATCAATGATTCAGCGATACGACAGACTATTTTAAGTCGTTTATTCCCGGCCCTGTTAACTAGATCAAGAAGTTTTGATATGGCGTAGAAAGTGTATTCTACAAGCGCCCAGAAACTATGAGGTTCCCAAGCACATAAATTGAGTTTACTTATACATGATAGAAACGTCCTTGGTGAGAGCTACAAAATAGCATACTAAAATAATCCGTCAACCAATGACAGACAAAGATTTTTCCGGTGGGAAATGTGAGCTGAAGGTCAACTAAGCGTTCTTGGGCGCGAAAACATAAAAAAATTCAGAATTAGGACTTTTTATGAGTAAGTTCTAGGGATTTAACATCCTCAATAAATAAATTTAATATAAAGCCAGTACACTGAGATTTTCACTCTATGTGGCTAATCATGATGAATAGAGGTAGTTGTTAGTAGTTAAGTGATATCTGGTTAGGAGAAAATAATCGGTATGCGGAATAGGGTGAAGATACTGATATCCTAACTGATTCATACATTTTTACGAATCGATAAACTTGAAAATTGAATGAAAAACCAAAGGGCGGTAAAATCAAATGAAAATGCTTCATTTAACTGAACTATAGTAAATGGTCTCTATTATTTTTTGTGATCAATTGTTACGCATGAACGTAAACATATTATTTTGATATGCTTGAATTATGATTACGAGTTTACCTAAGATGGCCGTTTCATCCGCTGGTATGAGACTAATCATCGGTGGAAGTGAGCATTCACAACTACTGCGACTTGCGGAACTCGGTCTTGCTCATGAACGCCTAAAATCTGGACCACTAATATACTAGGCTGGCCGGAATCCAACAGTGTACAACTTTGATCAATCTAAGGATTTATCTTCGGTAGTGACTGCGCGCTTTTGATGAGTAGTCGCATACCAGAGGAAAAAAACGGCCGTCTCCCGATGCTTCCAGGTTTCTAATCGTATAGTTGTTTAACATGATATGAATGTGTATCTGTTACGCTCGTCTCTAGGTATACTTAAACTAGTATGAGTTGTTCACCTTAGTCGAATAACGAGAAAAAACAATGAACCAGCGTCCAGGTAGGCTACTGTGATCCCCTGACCAAATTGTATCAGCGTAGAAATTGTATTCTACAAACACTCGGCCAACACACTATGTATCTAAGCACTCAAATTGCGTTGATTTATACTCTATAGAGACGTCCTTGGTAGAGTCACAAAAATAGCACACTAAAATGACACAGTAACCACCAATCACAGCCAAAGATTTTCCTAGTGGGAAATGTGATCTCAAGGTCAACTGGTTGATCGGTCCATGAAATAAATCCACAAGCACGTTCTGGGGATCTAACATCCCCAAAAACAGTATCAATGTGTAAAGTAAAATTTTTAAAAAACAAATCAATCATACAATCACTAACCATTGACCTAAAGCACGTAAACATCGCATACGACCAAGAATTAGTGAACTTTTATCTTTAATTCGATCATCTTCTAATTTACGTTCATATAAATTTAAAGCAGTTTTCCAATCATGTAATTTTTCACGCCAAACTTCTTCATTAGCCTATCAAAATAAAAAGTATATAAGTATATATATAGACACGCAGATATTGAAAACCATTTGGAATCTTCAAAGTTAAGGGGAGAAGCGGAAGACCAAGGAACGTATTACATTGAGAAATGGAAAGAACTGGAAAGGAAAGTCCAGGACAGAGTGAGTTAGAGAATACTAGGCGGAGGCCTTGTGCTCTACTGGCGGTAACAGCGGTAAGTAAGTACGTCACTCAGTTGCAACGTAGAATTTCGTACGCATGTACATAAATTCAGTTTGACATATCACATTAGCACAGACGCAAATGTCAAATCAAATCCCATAGTGATAAAGATAGTAGAGGTATTAATGGTAATGAAGAAGACTAGGGTTTGAAGTTATTATTCAAGAAGTATAATTCAGTGAGATAAGGTTAGAAAGACAAAGGTAGGGGTGCTGGCTAATCCAGAAGATTAGGATTTGAGAGAGCACAACGAATGGATGCACTTGTGCCCTTGCAAACAATTTTAAGCCATGTCGTTCAAGGTCTCTAATCATTTGTGACTTTCGTCTCGAGGACCCCAACCACGTAGCCTACATCTACCAACATGACCCCGTCCACTTGTCAGTGACACTTCATGCATTTCTGCCATGTTTTGGTCTTGCCGCCCCTAGCTTTCTTCCAACCTACTCCTATACCACAAAACATAGCTCGTCGAGGCAGTCGATGGTTAGACATTAGTCCGAACCACTTCAACTGATCAAGTTTCACCACTTCATCTATTGATTTGCCACCCTTAACTAGTACTCGTTTCCTAACGACAGTATTACTTACTCGGTTGTCCCACGGTATACGAGTAATGCTTCTTAAACATCTATGATCGAATACTAGTAACCTACGAACATCTTCTACTCTTAACGGCCATGTGTCGCATCCATATAGGAGAACAGAGCGAACTGCTGCGCAGTACACTCGTCCTTTGGTCAGCGAAAGGATATCTCGCCTACGCCATAAGTGACGCAGGTTGGCAAAAACCAATCGAGCTTTCTGTATCCGTGCTGAGAGTTTGTCACACACCAGGCTATCAGCATTGGCGAGATTCCCCAGAAAAGTGAAGCGATCAACACGCTCGACTACTTCACACCCTATCACTAGTTCAGGTGCCGATGCAACCCAATCTTGAAGCAACATTTTGCATTTCGAGGGGGAAAACCGCATCCCAAACATACTTGCATTGTTGCTTATGGTAATCAAAAGACTTTGCATTTTGTTAGAGTCTTCACCGAATAGAACTATGTCATCGGCATATTCTAGATCGGTAAGCGATTTCTACTGGTAGAAGGTCAACCCCTGAAAAATCTGATGAGCTTAATGTCAACTCTAATAGGATGTCTACGATAAAGTTAAACAAAAATGGAGAGAGTGGACACCCATGAAGGACACCATTTGATGTAGAGAATTCCGATAAAAGTTCGCCATAAGCTCTCACTTGACCAGTAGTGTTCGAGTAGATAGAGCTTGTATAATATAAGGTTAATGTACTACTTTGGTACACCTTTCAATGACAGACACTGCCACAGGAACTCATGATCCACTGAGTCAAATGCCGCTTTTAGATCCAG